CAAATACAGTTTTCTTAGTTGCCTTACTTTTTCTTATCTCTCTCCACAGCAACATTTTTTTTTCACTTCTTCCCTACCCCTGAATCCTGCTTTGATTTCACTCCCAGGCCAAGTAGGAGTAAAAAAAAATAAAAAAAAATGGTAGATCTTTCTATTCCTCAGTTTTTTTTTCTTTTTCTTTTCCTTGTTTTATTGTGGCAGATGGATGGCTTGGCTGGCTGACTAGAGTAATATCCTTATGTGTGCATGGCTGCCATATGTGAAGCAGACTTTCCCTCTTTCTCAGCATCATCTTTTTAGCAAGTGTTAGCAAGTGTTTTGTGTATGTTTCTCTCAACCCATACTGTTTCCTCACAACCTTCACATCCATTCACTACTCTTTGGCCAATATGACGACTCTGTTGCACTTCAACTGTCCCTAAATTCAAAAATGGAGATTATTTGAGTACTAGATTACTTTTTCCAAATAACTATTTTGCATCAGCTATATTTTTTTTTAAATTAAGGTATTTTTCTGAGAACAGATTATGATCAAATTATAGCTGATTCAGAAAACAGAAAATCATATCAAAGGTGTGTGAGTAATGAAAGCAATATTAGCCTGTTTATTTTAAAGGAAACAGTTGGTATTCATTGACTGACCAGCTAGTGCAACTTTCAGTTTAGATTTATAAAATCTTTCTATTTAAACATTTTTTTCAGAAAAATGGCTTTCTTGTGTCCACTGTTATCACTCTTTCCAGTATTGATGGGATTTTCCTTCATAATCTTTTGTTCAAAGTAATATGGAATAGGGAGGGAGATACAGTGGAGTAATGGATAGTGGCTCGGATTGAGGAATCGGAGAGCCGAGTTCAAATTCCAGTCAAATTGATTACATTCACTTACGTGCTAATACCCTTGGGAAAGGTATGAATCCCCTTCTTCTCCACCCCACCCCCAGCTATGGGCAAATAACAGGATAGATTGGATGGAAACTGGTCTACTGCAGAAAGAAATGGCAAACTACTGTGGGAAAGAAATCTGCCTCGTCAGTCATATATCGAAAGGTACATGATCACTTACGTGTGTATCACACATGGCACATAACTGACTGACTGAGTACAGAATATCAAAACTTTGATTCTATCATTATTGTCCTTACAAGTTAAATCTTAGTTGTTGCTGTTATTGGTAGTCTTCAACTGATGTGGTTCCTGTTATCTTGTATGGTTCCTTTGTTTATGATTCGGTAGCACCAGTCCTTGAGGTTCGAAAAAGGACGGTCTTTACTATGACCTACAGGCTCCATTCACAGGAATAATTACTTTCCAAGCTTAACAGAAGAATCATGATGAAATCGATCATAAACAAAAATAACATGTTCATCATTAATTAATTATAGCTAAGGATTGGGTGCTCATTCAAATACATACATATATAATTCCAGGATTATTTTCCAACTTATTGAGGATGATCTTTGCCCTATTTAACATTCTAATTTTCTATCCTGGAGTAACAAGGTGCATCACATGTTTTACATACAATTTCACTTTCAAGTCGTTTTTCACTGCTCTTCCAACTGTCATAGCTGAAACTCCTCTCTCACGTGCCAAACATCTTATGGATTGAGTTGGATCTTTTCTAATTGATCTCTTTAGTTCTGAGTTGAAATGTTTGATCCCTCTTCCTGTTGTGACCTCCTGATCAAGTTTTCCTCTCTACTGTTCCCTCTTTTTTAAACTTATTCACTGTTCTGTTGATGGTTCTTAAATGGACTTTGCAAATGGAAGTCAGTGTATGAATGATGTAGCATTACTGAAGGCTTGAATGATCTTTTCCTCTCACTATTGCTCAGTTGGGAAGACAGTGGGTCTGACACAAAACAATTTTAACCTGTTCTCTTTCTAGCTGAATAAAGATGTCAAGATGGCTAAACATCTCATATGAAAACCTGGAAAAAAGAAACTCAATTAGTTTAGTGGTTTTTTAGATATTAAACATTTTGTGGGATGGATAATTATGCTGTGACATGATTTGAACAATTTTGGTGTTACAACTGGTATATCGCTTGTATATAATTACAAACCTTTCTACATATAACATCACATGCATATGATACATGCACATTTAAATTAGATTTATAGCATTTATTAAAAGAAAAAAATTAACAAGATGAAGTTAATAAAACTTTTTCTATATTGTAACTGATAATATTAACATTTGATACAGTATTTACATTAGTCGGACTATTGTCCTCATCTTTGTCGCCATATTTGTCACAACGTTTCGGCCGTTGTATGCTCCGGCCTTCTTCAGGTGGTTGGAATTTCGAACTGAACCCTTTATTTCGTTCGCTGGGGTAAACTGTTCTAATTCCACGTGCCATGTTTGATGGATGTCAGTTATCAGTTATCTCCTGCTAATTTTCCCTCTGAAAGTTCTCCACTGCCTTAACCTTAACTTAAACTGAACTCACCTTCTTTGGGTCTGTCACTGGATCTAACCAACGCCTTTATCCACTGTGCCATGTGTCCTTGAGGACATCTGGGTATGAACTTCTGAGTATTATAAACCTAATGTTTTCAGCATCATTTTTACCAGTGCTCATATTGCAATTTTTGCTGTTATCATTGCATGTCTTTACCAGAGTTCATATTGCAACTTTGTTATCATTGCTTTTCTCTGGCACTCCTTATTACTGGTTCCCATATTGTATTTATTTCTATGCTTGGTCAGCTCAGGAGATTTTTGTGGCCTAGCATATGTGCTGATTCCTTAAGTTTACGAATTTTCCAATGGTGTTCCCTGTCTATGATCTCAACATGATCCCACAGGGGCGGTGATCTCCTTCTCTCTCCATATGTGGTCAGCCACGCCTGATTTTTTTACTTCCCCTCGCGTTACAGCTTTCTGGTGTTCTTGAAGCCTTACCTTGAGGGGGTGGCCTGTCTCTCCTTTATATTCCTTTCCGCAGCTGCATGGGATAGCGCATACACAGTCTTTAGTCATGTTCCTCTCTATGGGGGTCTCACTCGTGAGAGATACCTGCAAGTGTTGTCACGCTTTTGAAGGTTGTCCTGATGTTATATGGACCGCAGATCCTTTGTATTTTCTCTGATAACCCCTTCACATAAGGCAGGCAGACTGTTTTCTGAGTGTTGTTGTCCTCCTCCTCCTCCTCCTCTTGTACCCGCCTATCCCAGATTTTGGGGGCTGCTGCCATGTACCCAGGGTAGTTGTTGCGTTGTAGGGTACTACTTATACTGACCAATTCCTTATCTAACGTCTCTGGATCGCCACTTATGACTTTTGCTCGATGTTGTAAGCATTTGATGGTCAAAATAACTCAAACAAAAACCTTATGAATTTTGGATACTTTCTTTATGAGAATGTATGACTCAGACATCGACTAGAAAAATGTAATCAAAAATCAAATAGAGAGGCCTTGTGCCAGTTCAATTCAATAAAACATGTTTGAATGAATTCTTGCTGCCTAAGTATACATAGTTTAGATAAATTATGTGTATATATTTAGCAAAAGATGCCTTCCAAAAGCTAAGCAAGGAAGAAGGAAAATTTCATTAGTAACAAAGAAAAAGTACTAAACTAATATAATATCAGTCCTCCTCTATGACAGTGAATGTTGGACAATCTTGTCACAGATGAAGAAGAAACTTGAGGCAACATATATGTGGTTTTTACAGAAGGATGCTGGGTATGTGAACAATGAGGAAGTTTTAAGGAAACTGGAAACAAAAAGGATGCTTATACTTATAATGAGGAAAGAGGGCTTGGAGAATCTGACACTCACAGCATATACTGAAAGCAGGAGGGATATAGGAAAGCAATGAATAACCTACATAATTGGCTTGTTTAAATGGATGGCATAACAGGAATTGGGACAGATAATGTAAAGACAAATCTTACTAAGTGTTACAAAGGATAGGAAGATGTAGAGAGCCATGATTGTCCTTGTCTTGAAGGGACATGGCCCATCATATCAAAGAAGAAATCATTGATATATTTTATGAGGATGATAATGTTTTTAAAAAGGTTTGAAATTTGTAACCCTGAAATCGAAAAGAAAAGATATATTCAGGAATTCATTGCTAGGTTTTACACCTTAGCTTTATGAAGTAATCAGAAAGTGAAAAGAAGCAAGAAAAAAGGAAGAGTAGGTATCTTTCTATTTAATTCTTTTTTTTTTTTTGTCATAAAAGAAGAAACATTGTTTATTTATTTCTTACACTTTGTGTTTTTGCCTCTTTGAATGGGGGAATATCAAGGTGTCTGGCCTTTATTTCTTCACGTCCAGCTGCTACTGTTACAAAACTATAGCTGCTTTCTGGATGGTGCAAATCTCAGCAGTTTCTATTGAAATTCATGGGAAGGCAAGGGTCTGACAGATCTGGGTGACTAGCCAATTCTTCTCTCAACAGGAAGAAATCACTGGCAGAACAGGAGTTTTCAAGAGGCATGGACGTTGCCCACAGGTGTTAAGAGCAGCATATAATGGAGATGTCTCTCCCATTCACATGCATTTAAACATATACACACTACATGTATGTGAACACACACACACACACACATATATATATATATATATATATATATATATATATATATATATATATATATATATATACACACACACACACAGAGGTATGAGGAGGTGCTGAAAAGTTTTCAGCCTGACCAGGAAGCACTCCTAAAAAAATCTCATGTTTGATCATTTCATCACATTTTCCAAAGTGGGTTGAGCCAAGAAATTTTCAGCAGCCCTATGTATATTTTATATAATTTTGTGCGTGTGTATCTTTGGAGATATATAAAAAAGTGAAAGTGATTAGGTTGAGGTGAAATAGAGTTGATATAAACAGAGGAAAGAAAACCAAGTTGAGAGAGAGAGAAATGAAAAAGAGATACGATAAAAGGACATTAAGAGAGAGAGAGAAAGAGAGAGAAAAGAAACAAAAGGATCTTAAAGAGAAAGAGAAAAGGAAAGAAACAAATTGATATTAAAAGAGAGAGTGAAAGAAACCGAGGAATAGAGTCAAATGATCAGGGAAAATATTAGAAAAAGAAGTGAACAAGTTGACTATGCAAAAGTAAAGATGACAGTGAGATAGGAAAGATGCATTACATGGCAGAAAGAGAGAGAGAGAGAGAGAGTAAACAGAAAATTTACCAAATCTAAAATTAATAGAAAAAAAAAGTCAAGGGGCTGAGATTTTGGAGCTCTCAAAATAAATAAATAAATAAGATAGATAGATAGATAGATGTATGTATGAGAGAGAGAGTATAAAATGAGAAACAATTGTAGAAAGAAAGATAAAACAGTGGAGTAAGCAGAGAAAACTGAAAGAGAAAAATAAGAGTAAGTGGGTTTAGAGGAGTCAGATTGTCTCACTCAATCACCTATTCAAATTCTGATGAGCTCTTCACAATAGAACAGGTGCATTGACTACCGGTTTCCTGCAAAACTTAACCTGTCACAGTTTAAATACCTCCATCAAGACATTTATTACCTAATTACACAGAGCAATGAAAAATTATAGCTAATTAATATTTAAAATGTCCGTTTCTTTTTTTCTCTCAATGCAAAATTGAATGGTGTTTAATGTTATTTACTTTACTTAATCTCGTCATACTGACACAAGTGTTGGATACCGTAAAGATCAAACTCATTTCAGTAACAATAGTCTGTGTGACTAGTGAGTTAACCATTGCTGAATGGCAAAGTGCCATATAATACACACCTATAATTCATCAAGGATCATCAGGAGATTAATATGTCAAATGGGTGTGCAACCTCTAACCTAAACCTACTCAAACCCAAACATTAGGGTAGAAGATGAAGGATGTTTTTTGGTGGTTTCCTTTGCATTTTTTTTTTTTTAAAACGTGTGACTTATATAACAGAATGTGCCGATCAAGGTTCTCCACAATTTCCTATCTTATGTATCTCTTAGCAACATTTGTCTTTTTACTATCCCTTTCATTCCTATTGTCCAGTTTGCACTCCTCCCAAGTCTTTTGAGCAGACGTAGAGGCTTATCCCTTGTTTCCTGTTTAGGATTGAGTTTCTGGTTCCTTCTAAAGTCTACTTCAACTCTTTATTTCTAACGTCTTCGATTAAGCTCTGAAATTTTATTCAGTAATTAAATCTGGACCTCTTCAAGTCTAGAGTTAGCTGTTATCTTTCCTGTCTAGCCCCAAGAACTTCACTTCTTGTCCTTTATTATACTAATACAACACCACACTTTATCCCTCTATCTTGAGTGGCTCTTGAGCTTTTTATTGGATGAAGATTAGTAAAAAAAGAAAAATTCCCTGTTCTGCCATCCGAGTTCATTGGGTAGGTTACTTACTGGGTTAGTAAAATTACATTCCCCTAACATAAGAAGCTTTCTTTACTTTAAAATCAGCATTCAAAAGACTGTTTTTTAGCTAGATTTGAACACTGACCACTGATGCTAAATTGAAATATGAAACTAACCCATTAAACAAGTCAAATATTTAACTTGGATTATTTTGATATGAGATCACAAGTGATGGGCTCCCAGTGAGAATTAGGCTCACTACAAAGGTAACAATTTGCTAGTTAGCTTGTTAATAAGCATTGCTCTTACTGGTGTCCATATTTGAATAATATTTCAAATATTGCATCTGTTTTTACCCTCGTATTGGATCTTATAAAGTCTGACTCGAGGGCAACAGTATTTTTTGGTTTCTGGGGAAGTGATTTGTTCAAATAATCATTCTCTATCAGAAATCATCACATGATAGTGACAAGACATTTTATCTAGATACGTGGGACAGAGGTTAGGATGAAGTGAATTCATACCTTTCCCAAAGGCATTAGTGTGAAGAAAATGTAAGCAAAACCAGAGTAGTTTTTTTTCCTTTCATCTTTACTGCTGTTATTTCTGCCAACACTCTAGCTCGATACACACTGTAACAATTTCACACTCTGCTTACTTTAACAGTTACAAGATATAATAACCCGAGTGGTGCAATAAAAAAAAAACAAAGATAAGGGGGGGGGAGAACTAGTCAAAATTAACGTTTTTTTTTTATTTATTGTCAATTCTTAACTTGAGATGTCATACTCATTGTCAAATATTGACTTGTTTTATACATTATTCCTTGTTTATATCATACTTATTATAAAACCCAGGTTGTGTGTGTTTGTGTGTGTGTGTGTGTGTCTGTACGTTTATATATTGGATCGGATTTCCTACATTTTTCAACCGATTTCAACAAAACTTCACAGGACTACGTAAAATTACCTTGCGATGGTTCTGACAGCGTCAAAAATTGGAGAAACAAAATTGTTTTTGCACGAAATCAATTTGAAAACACGATTAAGAGGCATCGCGAGAATGAAAGGGGGACAACTCATATCGAGTTATACTTATAAAACCCAGGTTGTTTGTGTGTGTGTTCATTTATATATGGGATCGGATTTCCTACATTTTTCAAACCGATTTCAACAAAAAACTTCACTTTTTTTTTTTTTTGAGGTAGTGTTTCTTATTGTCTTGCACACTTTTGTCTTTATTTTTACATTCAGAATGCTTTAAAAATTCCATTTACAAGACAATTGTTTATAATAAAATTCTATTCAATCGGTAGACTCATGACAATTGAAAACAATGTTTTTGTTTGAGTTTAAGTTTGACCAATTCGTAAAAAAAAACAAAACAAAAAAAAGCTAATTAAGACATGCGTGTCTGTCAACCTTAAACAATAATCTTTGTCAATTTTATTTTTCAGTCTTTATGATGATCTATCTCTTACTGTTACATCCCTGGGCAACGCCGGGCTCTGCTGCTAATAACTTATAATATCATAGGTTAGATTTCATCGACAAATATGTCAAAGCTTTCACTGAATCTAATGATTATGTATACAGAAACAAAGTAAATACTAAAAGCATCTATAAAAATTAATTGGAAATTATTTAGTATAGAAATGCATTATTAAATACATTAAAATTCTCAATAACTCTAATGATTACATATAGAGAGAAACAAAAATTGTGATCATAGAAAGAAAAATGAAACCATATTCATGGCTGTATTTTAGTGCTGAATGCATCTGAACCCCAATATAGTTATTTTCCAAGCATAGCTTAGATGTGGCACAAGGCCGAAAGTATAGGGCATCTAGCGAGGATCGAACTCACTTTTCAGTTGTAACTGATCTAGCGAGCAAGCTTGCTAACCATTACACCACGCCGAGGTGCCCATCTGAACTCTAATATATGTACACAAAGTTTAGGCATTTTTTTCCTAACCACTTACTAAGTTGACTGTTGCTCTACCAGCTGAGCAATGCACTAAGAAATATCTTTAATGCTAATTCCATCATTAAAAACCCAAATTTTGATAAAAAATTTAATTTCAGTAAATTTTCAATGATCCATTTACATTGAAAATCAGCAAAAAACTGTTTCTTCATAGTCAGGAATTAAAGTATGTCTTACAAAATAGAGCTATCAACAAGCCAGTGTGTTTTCAGGTGGGGTGCAGTCTTTAAGTAAGAATTTATGGAGTAATGTTAGTTCTCATAATTTTCAGGTGTGTGTATGTGGGGGGGTATTTATTTTCAGGGTTTGGGGGCAGACCCATTCCACTTGGTAATAGTTCTATCTATGTATAACTGGAACCTTAATTATTATTGCCATTGCATTTGAGACCAAATTTACTTGTCAACAGGTCACTGCCAGTTGGTTTGGACCACGTGATTTTAGCTGAAGATAATAAAAATATATCAGGTACTCTTTTCATTTAATGTACATGTTTACCTTAATGTATTGATCTGCATATAATCCAATATCTGAGCATTTTATGTTATTACATGAATGTCTTTGTAAGCAATGGGTATTAAATTTAGACTAAATCATCAAAAGAAAGCAAATATTCATATAAATTTTTCATCCAAAGCAATTTTTTTTATTCTGAACATTGTTTACATCTTAATACAAAACTCAAGACCATCTTTTCTAGTTGGGAACTTAATTCAGCTTTTCAGAAAAGAGTAAAAAGTGGGCTTTTGTTTGTTTTTTTTCTTTATCAAGTGACAATATTTTTTTGTTTTTTATTCTTTTAAAAAATTTTGACAAGCAAGTTTCTGAATTATGCCTTTGCCAAAATAATTTTCTTTCTTTAAAAATAAAACAAAGAAGAATAGAATAATAAATGAAAACATTCTGGAATGACCATTAAATTTATTTTCGGAAAAAAAAATAAGCAGCCCAACTCTGTTGCACTTTATATTAAAATTCAATCAAAATTCTAAATCATTAAAACCGAAATTTGAATTGTAATTTGATTTGTTAAATCTTTATAAAATTATTGATTTTTTCACATTCAAAATTACATTTTTTTCTGTTGACATTTCTTTTCCTATTTTTTTTTTTTTTTGACCATCTTTTATGAGTTGAAGAAATCCCGGTAAAAGATGAAATTTTAATTAAATTCATATCATTTCCAGGAGTCAAGGATTTTAATTCTTTCAATATATTCAGTCGTGCTTGCAAAAGAGAAATTTAGTCTCCTTGTGTGAGGAACAGAAAATGTATGTATGTATTCATGACCAAAAATCTTTCATGGAATTAACAAATATTCATTTGAGTTTATTTCAAAACAGTGATCCTTGAGTTATTTCATTCGGTTAGAAGCAAAATTCTTCAATCCAGACATTTGAGAGTATTTTTTTTTTTTTTTAGATATAATAGATTTCACACTCACTCAGATTTAATTATAGATTATCAATTCTTTACAACCAAACAGTAACTTTATTTGAACCTAAGTCAATAAACAAAAAGATTTAGATGATTTATCAAAAGAATTACTAATTTTTTTGGTTTGTTTTTAACCATTAACTTTTCAAAATCCTAGAAAAATAACTGGACCATAGAACTTGGGGTCAAAGGATATAACATACAATCCCTTGGGAAACATTAATTCTTAGCTTCCTGTACTCTGATATAATATTTTATTCTTAACACATTTTTAATATAGACAACCCCAGAACTAATTGTATTCAAAATGTGAACACAGTGTAAAAAAATAAATAAAAATAATAGTTCTCTTCCTTAAAGTTCTTACAGAGTTGGAACAGCACTGTTGGAGATTCTGAACAGGAAGTTATAATCAAGAAAAAAAAAAAACACCAATGAAATG